GGGAGTTACAGTCAGTCCGCAACGAGTCCAGAACGGTCCTATATCAATGGAGAGAGATCGATGATTGGAAAGGACAAGTCCGGCTGCCCAACAAACTCTAGGTTTCAGACGATCTCCTCCAACGGAAATCAGAAACGTCTCAGAGTCGGTAAAGAAAAATTAAAAAGGGTACGCGTTGAACCCTCGCTTCTAGTTCCGCTGCGCTTAGGGTTTAATTGGTAGATAGTCCGTGACTTGCACATTGTCGAGATACTCACCGGTTCCAACAACACCCATAGGGATGATTGGGATCGACCTAGCAGGACGCTGAGGAGAAGCAGTCTCCTCAGCCTCCGAATATTTCGTCGCGAAGTTGAAGGGGGAGACAAGGAGGACAAGAGGTGGCCGAAGAGGGTCCGACCCGAGAGGTAGAAAGAATAGTTATGACCCCCGAAGAAGTGGAGGTCAAAAAAAGAAAACTGGGGTTTAAAAGTATCAAAGTAAGATGGGGAGATCATGTCACGACCGGAGTGACGGTCACCCTCGCTTGAAGTCGCAGAATCTAAAAGGGGACAAAAAGGAAACAAAAATATAAAATATTCAGGAATTGAAAGAAAATGATGTACGAAAAGAGTTGATGACATATTTAAGGCAGAATGAAAAAGGAAAATTTAGGAGAAAATTGGACAAACTCAATATGCGCAAAATGCAATCAGAACGAGGGAGAGGGAGAAACTTATGCATTGTTGTAAGTGGTGAACGGAGGAATAAAGTTCAAGGGGGGGAACAGTGGTGAGAACAACAGAGACTCTGAATACAAGAAGAAATTTTGTCGAAGGCTAGGGAGAAGCACGAGTGTTTATGTAAGAAATTTTTCGCTCAGGTGGAAAACCTTACAAAAGCGGCCAATGCATGTTTTTATGCGCATGGGGAAGAAGAAGAAGATGAAATGATCGAGGAATCCTGGTTGTAGAATTGGAGTTGAATTAATTGATCTGATTAAATGCAGTAGGTGAATAGATAGGTCGAGCTCAACCGTCAGATTAATGTGAGAAGGAGCAGACAAGATTAACGGGACATTAAATGTGGGACACTGCGCAAGGCCCACATGGACTGCAAAGCGCTAGGCGATGGGACATCTGGGTTGACACCAGCACATAGCGATGTGACGGCTGGGCGAAATGGATGCAGACACGCGTC